ATGCAAATAAAGAACCCAACCTTATATACAGATTATTATATATGTGTGTATATATATGCACACATACATATATTCCCCATATATACAAGTGGGCAGGATCAATATAAAAGGACACGGACAAACAGTTTTCAGAATTCAAATTTGTTTTAGAAACCTAAAACAGCACAGGATTATAAATAATCAAAACACACCTTGACATATAAAGTCAATATATGACTGAAAAGTGAACACAAAAAATGTGAATATAAAGAAGTTCAATATAAGGAAAAAAACTTCTAATAAAATGCTGGATCCAATCCTGCCTTCTGTTTCACTTAAATTCCCCAAGTTCAACTGAAACCAAAGTAATTTAAGGCTTTCAGTACAAGAATGGTAGGTTAGGGGTCCAAGAATGAAATCTCCTGCTGTCACCCCAAATAGAGCAAGCAGAAGTGATAGTAACGCTAAAACGTTTTGCACTTAGCCACACATATCCCAAAGAGAACCAAAGTTTAAAGTCATATTCTGAAAACCATCATGCTCATTGCCCTTATGTAGGGGATTTCATACTAGAACACATAACACCTGCAACTTTGCCAACAATACAACAGCCCGACTTTTTAGAACAAAATAGTTCAAATGGCATTAGTTAATATAAGGAGCGTTCGGGCTTTTTTGTAGCTACTGTTAAACATCTGTCTTATGCACCTGATGGTAAATTAAGAACAATTATGGAAGAACGAGATATTTAAAGGATCTCTTCATTACCCATTAAAAGTTAACTCAGCAAGTCAACAGCAATCATGATTAAGATTTTGAATACAGCCACAGAAAACAATACAGCCTTCATGACAGTCATCATATAGCCAAATGGTAAATATGGACTCTAATAACTACAAATACAACTATTTAAAATAAACATTGCTGTACACAAGATACAGAGTATGACCGTCAATACACTTGAATAGCACAATTAGCTGAATCAACTCCACAATGACTGAAGTCTGTACTTAGTATTAACAATTAGACAAGGGGAAATAATCTTCCCAACACTACGTGCTGACATGAGAACCGCAGTGGCCCATTCTCTGAAGTTCTGTGATGGCAGTGCCCTCCTCCCATGAGAATGCAGCGCTAAGTATTCCCATATATACTAGCCCACAAGGACACATACAACACTTACTGGGTTTCAGGAAATGCTAACGTCCTCTTGCCTCCATCCCCACTAAGGCTAACGGAGCCTTTTCGATAGCAATGGGTGGGCAGAATAATTCTGGGGAGACTAGCTGAAGACTGGAAGTAGGATGCTAAAAAACCCAAATCCTTAAACTGACATTTAGCTTGCATATACTGCTGTCTCCTCTTTACCAAACAGAATATACATCAAAATCGTTGGGAAAATGGGGTTAAAGTTTTGCATAAGCACTTCAGTTATTACCTGGCTCACATTAACAATCAACTAGGCCAACATAACAAACAATTCTTGTTACTCAAACTGGCGTCATTGTAATGAGCTCCAAATTAATCTCATCCGTACACAATCACTAATCTTGTTTTGTGCCAAGTGAATTTTTAATCAGAATGGAGTGAATCATAGGTTGTTTTTAAAATACATTTCTAATACTTGTCATCCAAAATGAATAAACACTAGAGCAGGGAAGAACTTTTCTATTTACATTCTGAGAAGCTGATTTTATTTATGCATGCTATACACACAAGTATTCAATGCATACAATAGGTGAGGACATTTTTAAAGAAAATAAAAAATAAGCATTTTTATTTCTAATAATGCTTTGAGCATGAATAGCATCATCTTCCTGAAGAATTTAGCCCGTTGACTGTAATTAAAATTGTATGACAAACCAAAATAAAAGGAACAGTTGCCCCTCTCAAGTTGCTCCTCAATCTCTACATCATTCTATAAGATCAGAATACACACAATCACACCCTGCAACCCACAGAGTAACTACTTCTGGTATGTCATGTAGTGAAGTATATATTTTGCAGTGCTGAACTTGAGACTCAACCTGAGTTTCAAACTAAAGTGACTTTAATATTTGTGCAAGACATAAAACCAAAGCTGAGTTTCAAGGAGCATTTTCAACTTAATTCTTCAAGTGCAATACCAATTTAATAAAGCAGTTGATTAGCTCTGCTTATAGCAACAAGAGTGCTCAACGTCTCACCCCACTGCTGAAACACAGGCCCAACCATTTAGGAAATCTCTTGAGAAAAAAAAGATAGTATGAAGTCTTCACCTACAGTATCTACCTATTAAAATACAGTATTTCTGGAATCTTGTTTTAGCCGTCTGGCTAACAGCTGCTCAACTGAACACCTGTTACCACACTTAGATGAAAACCTAACTTGAAGGTCTGCCCACGGGCATGGAAACTGAAGGAGTTACTGAAGCGATCTGCAGCACAGCCATTCAAACGTCTTCAGGGAGCTCTACTGACAGCCTAGAATCTATTACAGCCACACGAGCTGGAGGAATCTGGAGTACCTGGTTCTCGTTTCAAGCTAAGCATAATGCCTTACTCAAGCCATGTAACAGCATGTGATGACTTCTGCTCGGAAAACAAGACACTCGGGGCGGATGAAGCAGCGCAGGAAGGTTCGATGTCAGAATTCCCACAGATCTGGTGGCACATATTACTTAGAGACTGCACTCCTCATTTAATACCATCTACATGCTTTTGTGAATGGTAGATTCTGTTTTGATTGCCAGGAACTGTTGCATCAAAAGTATTTGAAGATTGCTCAAGATTAAGAGCATTAAATTATGCTCAATGTGCTAATCTATTTTTATAGTCAGTAGAAAGATATGTTAACACATTAAAAAATTCTGCTAATATCTTAGAATTCAATTAAAATCATCCTCATTTAACAGCTCTGAAATCTGTGGAAAAATGGGAGTTATTCAAACACTTAGCATAATAATCAAGTTATTGTTAATGTAACATTCTGAAGAAAAACTCTGCAAACCATGTTGAACATTAAACAGCGAATGCAAAAGCAAAACCACACCATATAGACCATAGCTATAAGGTGGAGATAACACGCTCTGACAACATCAGGATAGACTGCAGGAGAATGACCAAGGACCTTATCAAAAAAGGTTACATTTACATAGTGAATACTATAGCAAGGCATAATGACCAAAGGAAAGCTGTTGGCTTGCAAATTTCTTTTTTGGTTTGTTGCTAATTAATTTTAAAATAGGCTGGTTAATGTCCCATTATGCATCATGGAGCAAGCTCTTCCTTTAACATCAACTGCAGAAAGTAGTTGCTAGTGTGAATACTTCTCACGAGCTTGTAAGATTGTGAAACAACAAAACAGAAAAAGGAGGAAAATAGGAGAACTGGTAAATAAAAGAGTGTGAAAACAATTATAGAATTGTCATATAAAGTAAAACCTTTTCTATAAACGAGCCTAACAAGATAGCTATTCAGCAGAACCATGCCTCCCTCCCAGAGGGGTTTGTGAGTTTAACAGAAGAGTGATCAGGGGAAGCAAAGATATGAGACATTCACCTTTTAAAAATTCTGTTAGGTATGCTAAAAAAAATTGTTAAACCCAATTCTTTTAAGATTGTGCAGTTTTTCAATGTAACTTAATATGAAGTGAATAAATCTAAAACCGAAACCCAACACATCTGTCACGTCACATGTAGAAGGGCACATTCAACTCTGTGGCTGCTGCCTCACTTTCTGCCCCCATGACACCTGTACCCCAAAACTAACAGTACAGCATGACAGCCTTTGACTGACTTTGGGGAGCTCCCATACCTGATGAAATCACTCAGCTGCACTGGAAACGTACTGATAAAGCACAAGAGAGGCTGCAGGAGAGGACTAAGAGCCTCTCTCCTAGCAAGGCTCTGTGCCAGGAGAAGTTAAATTAAAAGACATTTTCCAGGTGCCTGTTTGTGCCAGTGATTCCCATATACCCTTAAAGGTAGCCTATAAAATAAAATATATTTAAAAGCGTCAATATCTTTTTGGGTCAAGTTTCTAATAAAAGCTGAAAATTTTGAGGAAAAAAAAATGAGATCATGATCTAGTACTGCGTGGGTGACTGAGCAGGAATTACAGGAGCTCTCTGGCAAAGGCCTGCTTTTCTGACACAGCCACTAAACTCTGCACCATAACCAAAGGTACTGGACGCTCAGTGGAAAAAAAATATGCCCAAACCCTATTGCAAATGATACTGTTGACCCAGAAACAAGGCTGCAGGTCTGCAAAGGCAGCAGAATGGTGCCCAAAGAGAGAGAGAGTAAAAGAGAAGAACGCCCTGGGTTTCAAAATGCCTTAATATGGCTTTAGTAACTACTAGTAACTTCTGAGAGGGGGAAGTCTTTTAAATGCATAATGATTGTTAGCTTCTTCAAACAAGGCTTTACTTCTTGAGGCTAATTTTGAATAGTGAACACAATGATTGTTTTCAGGTTGTGGTGTTTCTTCTTCCATAGTAATAAGACTGTAAAAATATTTTCTCATTAAGTTAATTTTTGACCGTCTCATCTTTTAAAAGGGCATTTGTCTTTATGGTAACACTACCACAGATGAGCACGCATCCATCTTTGACACAGTGATTTCAAGAACATACAATTTGGTTTTATCCTTCCTCATGGGAAAACAAAAATCAACATCACTACACAACATTATGCTACTTTTTCTGGAACTAAATGCTTTTTAAAGACGCAATTGAGCAATCCTTTTTTGCTGAGACAGATCTTTTAAGATGGTCAGTTATTAGACATCTTTTTAAAGATACTCTGAAGTTAATGTAAATGTCATCTTGTCTTGATTAAAGTATTTTTTTAAAAACCCTACAGTTATGGATTCAACTTTAAATCACATTAGAAGACACAGTGTTTATACTCACATAACGGTGAGATAAAAGGATTTTTTTTCTTTATTCTGCATTATTAGCAAATTCCTACTGCTGAAGGTATTCTATAAAAGCCAAGTCTCCTTGCATGGTATAAGGTTCTCAAACAGCAAAGTACTTACATGCAAGGCAGAAGGATCTGGCAAAAATTCAGCATCCTCTCCAAAGATAAAATCTGGTGGCAGGTCAGGATAGTGAGCATTGAAAATTATATCCCCTGAAAAGTAACAAATGAAAACATTGTTTGCATTTGCATGTATGTGCTTATAAATAAATACGATATTGTACATATGATACACATTTTAAATATAAAATGTAATAGCTACATTAAATATATTTCATGCATACATTTAAAAAAAAAAATCACATGCAAGATAAGCATCAAATGTTTTGGGGGATGAAGTCAAGTTCCTGAGGCACAGCTTCTTCCTCCTCTGCAAGCAATGAAACATGAAATACATTATTGCTTCGCATCTCAAATGGCAATTCAAACACTATTGAGGGTTGCCTCAAAACACCGAGTTAGAAAAGTGATGTTGTTTTAGAAAAAGTACCACGTTTAGATGGCTGTGTTTTGCATATTAAGTCGAAGTCACATGCAAACTATTAAGATCAGGATTTTCAAAATACTGGAGCTTCTAAAATTTAGTAGCACTCACTCCCTCTTCTTGACACCCACAACTCTTAGAAGGAAGACTATGCAGTTCAATAGGAATCATTCCAACTATCCAAATTCTGACCATGAGAAATGCAGTATTATGCATTTAAATGGTGAGACTAAAATTAGCTAAAAATACATAACTTCATCACAGCTTGGCAGCGAGTTCTCATCTTGCCAGTGTCACAAGGTATACAATTAATTACCGATGTGACAGTTCAAAGAAATTTGAATTGTATTATTTCACTACTAAACATACTTGAGAGTTCATGCAGGTCAAAAGGTGGTCATCTGCATGTGAGCTTTAAAAAAAAAAGCACACACACAATTCAAGGAAAAAACCCAACAGTATCTAGCATTACTTCTCTACCTCCCAATCACATATGCAAGAATAACTCTGAGCTTTTGCATAAAGCATTTGTGAGGTAGCAGGCATTACAACAAAGAAGTCACGACCTACTATGTGTTACCACTTGTTTAAAATCTACACAGCAAAGTAAAACCAGTGTGGTAAGCCTTATAAACAATTCTGCTCAGAGAAAGAGAAACCACTTTATTTTTTCAAAAATTAAGAATGCAGAACTGGAGAAAAGCACTAACTGAACAAATCTTACAAAGCCACATCACTGGGTCAGTGATGTCACCATCTCAAGACATTCAACTTGACAGTTTTAATTGCTAATATTCTGCAAACTTATCTTGGCTCTTGCTGGAAGCAAGGATTCTGCAAAGATTAATTTGCAGAGGATGAAGGCTCATGACCAAGAAGCCAACAGCCAGTCTGGGGTAAGTATGCTCTACAGTATCACTCCAAATCATGAAGTCACTGACCATGGGACTCAGGAGAGCACAGTGTGCCTTTCTCCTGTCTGTACTCCTACGTTCCTTTCACAAATTTCAGGAGCACATGTAAGCATGGGGTGCAGGAAAGAGTAGAGGTCCACCAGTTAATATATCCAACACAGTCAACATAAAAATCAATCTTTTATTTCATTCAAAGTAAGAACAAAACAGGCACCAATCCTAGAGGAAACTGCATAAAATTGCAACAGCAAGTGTACCTATATTAAGAAAAAATAATTACTAGACTGCCTAAATTCAGAAAAGTTGATGTTTGCCAGACTAGATAGTTCCTATACCACCATAACTCAACCCTTTTCTTCATATTTACTACACTCAAAATATGATGTATGGCTCTTTACAACAACCTCACCAATTTCTACATTCAAAGCAAGCAACTCTTTGAGGTTATGCGTTGAAGAAGATAGCACCTTAATGTATTCTTTGACTGAACTTTGCTTCATAGATAAAGACACGTGTTATTCACAACTCAGAACACAGCACAATGAAAAAGCTTGGCCTGCAACTTAGGTAGCTCAATGCTACTCTGAAGGGAAGAATTGTATCTGTGGTTTTGCCATGTTCTTATGTGATTTAATACACAATTTTTATATTGCAGTTGCTAGTTGCATGCTTTTCATTCTCTGCATTCATGCTTTAAGTAGTTGAGGGAACAGCACACATAGCTACAACTCGGCTCACAGGGGGCTGCACTCCAGCTACATAGACACTACAAAAGGCTGCTTAGAATAAAAGAAGGTTCAAAACAATTGCATATTTTTATGTCATACCTACACACTTGATCAGTGAAAAACTATTACACAGCCTTACAGCACAAGTAGTTAAGGCTCTAAGCAGAGTCTTGGGGCCACCTTGTGATTGGCAATAAACTGTATTCACCTCTGCAAGCTCCACATTGATGGGTGAACCTCAGGAAAGCTGTGACAGTAGGTGCAACGTGAACATTCAAACAGGTACAAACTCTTCGCCCCCACTAGTGTTTTCAATTCTACAGCAACATGAAGTGAAAAGAACTCACAGCAGCTCCTAGAACATCATCATACACAGTGCTCAAGTATGACAGTAAATTAAAGTGGGCATTATTGGTTTAACATGCTAGGTGGTAAACTTTTACAATTTGGCATTCGGGTCAACTGCATATCCCGTGCAGTGATTCTCTGCCATGGGACAGGGCCAACAGCTAGGGTTGGTACCCTCTTCAACCACTCGGGTGTGATGCATGGCCACATGTGAGGTCAGGCACATCACAACTGCAGCTGCTCCAACCGATCTATTACCTCTCTCACACAGTCACAGTTCTTTACTACCTTTGGTCACACCCCTTCTTCCACTGAGTATTCATGGCATATCACTCCTTATCCATAGTGAGTAACCAACTATGCAGATACTTTGGTTTAAAAAGTTTTCACGACCTACTGATACCATAGAACTATCCAGCACAAGGGATAGAATCCAGAGTAAAAAGTGACATTGTGAGATTTCATTTTCTGTTGCTACTACTTATAATTGCTATAATTGCTTCCACTTGCCCAGGGTAAACACGCCTCAAATCCAAACTCCCAAGTCCCTTTAGTAAAAGTCATTTTGAGACGCAATATATCAGCATTAAAGCCAATGTGAATTCCAAGATTACTTTTCCTATAGTATAGTCATTTCCCAAAAGTCTATACAGCACAGCTGGAGGTTTCTCTAGGCTTCAAAATAAATAAAACTATTATTTTAGTGCCTGTTAATTATACAATCACAAAACACTAGTGCTGAGACCATACTCAAAACATCTTATAACCCCATGGAACCTAAAATATCATGCTCTTGTCCTTATCTTCTAACTAAACCAGAAACAAATCATTAACACTCTCTTTCCTACAGTACCATAGTTTTTTTAATCCAAATGTAAACCCTAATTTATGCCGCTACAATCAAACCTCACACAGGCAGGGGGACAATAAAGACAAAGAAAGTTCAGAACAAAATGGTGTTTCCACTTCAATGTAAACAGTTAGAAAAGAGCAGCGCTTCTCTATCATCAGTGGTTTTCAGTCCATCAGTTAAATACAGCATCTTACTATCAAAGATGGTAAGATCTGACCTTAGAACAATTCTTTCACGTATTTAAAAAGGAAATAAAGCCTCCTCTCAGTCAAATCTTATTCCAGTAAGTCTCACTTCCGCCATGAATCCAAAGAAATTCATCTAGTTGCTAAAAGGAAAGAAAAAAGAACTTTTTTTTGAACCATATTAGACATTCACCCATATGACTCCTGGCCTCTGTAACTTTTCTGCTCCATCCTCTCCCCTTCCATATAGTTTCTCTCATGCCTGGCTTAATTTATCATACTGGGACAGAAGAAGTAACACCTTGGACTCTAGAAAGCTTAGGAATGAGTTTGCCCTATTCAAAGCTATGAGCATGAGCTATTTTCCTAATTTATATATTCTCAACAAAAATACACCATTACAAATCAGATTAAAGATTAAGGGAATCAATCCTATATCTGAGTTTTGTTCTTGTTAGATATCATAAAAATAGAGAAATTAAAACTGCAGTTAACAGTTTGCTTGGCAGGGCTATGATGCATAAATAAAAAACCGCTTCTTTACACTCAAATAAAAAGGTATTTAGACAATCACAATGGCCAATGCAACAGCAAATCTGGGTTTACTTCTGAAATATTAACACTAATCTCTGCAGTGAGCTTACAAAATATAAGGTGCTAAATGTTTTGAATCACCAACTACCAGTTTGTCCTGACCTAGTAGAAATACCTATTTTTTAAAAAACTACTTTATTTAATACTTGCATATTACCTGTGGCTTACCCTCTTCAAATACAATTGTGCTAGGGTAAAAACATACATTTTTCAACCAATAAAGCCATTTGCAAAATTATTGTGCTTAGAGTTTGAGAATGGCTACCATTTTAATTTTGAAATCAAAACCATCAAAAAAATCACTACAGTCCTGCATTCTCTCCCCTTCTCACCTAAATGAAACAAATACCTTATCCTTGCTATCCAGCACTTGAGTATGTAGTTTTTCCTATGTTTCAACACTGTTTGCCCTTATTCCCTTGAAAGAAGGCAAACTGTGTGGTGTTCCACAGTGCTATTGACCATGACCATTCCAGTGGAAGAACAATGCAAGCAAAACCTTCACTCTCAGACCATATTTATCTCATCTCTGTAGATATATTAGCTAACAATTCCTTCCGTGGAATTACATTTCCAATTAAATACTACTACAGAATTTAAATTTACTTCAATAAAGTTAAATCCATGGAGTCAACAATAATTTGAGAAGAAAAAGGATGTATACTTTTTTTTTTCCCCTTCATTATCCAAAAATATCACTTTCTCTTCCTTTTCTCTCCTTGGGCAAACAGCATTAAAATTTGAAATATTTTACTATACAAGATTTCAAAGGAAAAGTTAATATGCCCCCAATATACAAAAAGAAATATTAATACTTAAATATATAATTTCTTTTAACACACACACAGTTCTTTTCTCACCTATCAAAATGTATAAGCGAGTCTAACAAAGCAGTAAGGATGGACTACAACCAAGATAGGTGTAAATCTGAAACTGAAAAAATTCTTAAATCCTTACATTTGCTTTCCATTGGCCTATAATATATAGGGTTCCTCTCCCAGTAACTTCATTTTGGGGGTATTTTTCTTTCTTTTTTTTAACCATACT